TAATTTTTCTATCACAGTCCAGCTTTACCACTCAGCTTCTGGCTGAGAACACTGCAATATTTCTGGTCATTTTCTCTGATTCATCCACATTATACATCCTAATGCACAACTTTGAGTATGCTATTCATATGATGTTCTGTCTTGGCTACTCAATAAAAAGCAAAGTCCCTGTCTAAGTATTCAGGTTAAAACCTTTTTAAGTGGTTTCAACTTACCCTCCTGATACCCCATCTATAATCATGCCTTCACTACAAGTTTCTCCACTGCGGCCTGCTCCTTTTTCTTTTTCTGGCAGCATCCATTTTCACCTTTGTCTAGCTTAGATATCTCAACATGCCAACAATGCTATCCCATCTTGATCTTAGAAACATACTCTTATAAATGGACTTTTAAACCTGATATGTGTATTATACATGTACATATATGTATATGTACATATATAATAAGTTGCTACACTCCAATTCTAGAAAGAATATTGATTTGATTTGGGGAAATGGGCCTTTTACAAAGAAGAGGAATTTCATTTATGGTTTTTGTTTGTTGGTTTCTTCAACAGAATCAACAATAGAGAATTTATATCCCTCAGTGTCTAGCACGTTATATACAGCAACTGCTCCACAAGTGATATCAAGCATCTCAATTTATTACTTAAGTACTATAATCTGAACAGCAAATCTACACATATAAGTACAGTTCAGCCAGGTGCCTTTGGCTCACACTGTAATCCTTAACTAGTCAGGAGGCTGAGATCTGAGGGTCATGGCTGGATGCCAGCTTGGGCAGGAAAGTCTGTGACACTTTTGTCTTCATTTAACCACCAAAAAGCTAAAAAAAGAGCTGTGTCTCAAATTGTAGAATAACTGCCTTGATCAAAAAAGATAAGGCACACACACACACACACACACACACACACACACTATAAAAGTACAATTCAATTAGTCTACTGTCAGGGTTAATTTTGCTTGCTTAACTTCCTGAACTAAAAAATTAAAAATGGAAAAAAAAATCGAACAACAAAATACCTGGGCTTCAACCAGAGGAATAAAAACCAAGATTGCTACAGTCAGGAATTACTGCCAGTACTTTTGAAGCTTCCCAGGAAATTAAAATGTGTAAGTTAATTTAAAAACCATAGCAGATTAAATCTCCCATTTTACAGAAGAGGAAATTGAAGCCCTAAGACGGTAACTGATAATCATAAAATTAATTCCTATCAAAGGCAGGAATGAACTAAGGCCTCAAGAAACCTTTCCATGTCTTCTCATCCATATTATGCTTCCTGAAGCACATGTCTAGACTAGTTGAAGGCCTTTTTAATCACAGGGATGTCTTTAATCAACTAAGTAAACTAATAACTACAAAAATGCTATTAAATCAATAGCACTGTCCTTATAATTCAGTATGCCTCCTAGAAATTCCTATTCAGAATTTGTTCTGACAGGTTTGAAAACTGGAGCAGTTTGAGAATCCAAGAGCTGAAATACACAAGTCCATTTTAATAAACTATAAAAATAATCTCCTTTAACATAAAAATATCACAAAAAATTAACACAAAATCATCCTCCTGGAATAAGCTAAGCTAGTCTCTGAAATTCCCCCAACCTCTTAAGTTTTGTGTTATGACTGTGACACAATTCCTTGCACATATTAGCTAGATAAGTAAATGTACAAACAGATGGGAGGTAGGGGAGGCAGTACCTTTCTTGTGGGTGATTTAATTGCCCAACCAGGAGGCTGCTAGACATTCTGCTAGGGCTGTCTCCTTTGACGCCTTGCATCTAACAGCAGAGGACAATAAACTGTGTGTTCCCTCCCTTTAGTTTATAGCAAGATTCCCCCCTTTCAATCCAGTCTCCAGTCATCTTTCTAGGATCCAAATTACACATCACATTATTTAATCAACAAAGCTTTGGAGTCTAACTTTTTGGATCTACATGTTCACACTAGCTACACTTGCTCTCAGATGCTCCTTCTGCCAGGCAGGCCCTTCCTGATATTACCTTCACAAGCCCTAGCATCTTTGAAATGCATGACACTTCTGTTAAAATAAATTCCTCTACTCCCTTATTTGTACACTATATTATCCTATATTACTCTGGCTCTTTTGGCAGTCATGTTACTTGTCATCTTATCTGTCTCCCCAAGGAAAGTCTTCAGTCCTCTAGTCTTTATTAAGGACCCTAGGTGTAAGGCCATCTTGTACATATTGGGCATATAGTGCTAAGCAAAAGAAAATCTCTGCTCTGTCATGGGGCTCACACTCTATGGAAAAATGGGCAAAATACAAATACTGCCATGGTAAGTGAAGCTGTGGCTTAAAAAAGACAGAGTGCTAGCCTTCAGCAAAAAAGCCCAGGGACAGTGGCCAGGCCCTGAGTTCAAGCCCCATGACTGATCAAAAAAAGAGAATATCTTAAAGTAAGAAAGTCCAAATAACTGGGCTGGGATGTAGCTATGCTCCATCCCTAGTACCCAAAATGAAAAGACAAAAAAAAAAAGTAGTTAAAAATAAAACAAAAAAGTATGGACTAATAAGTATGCAAATACAAATAAAGTAAGTAACATAAAAGCTATTGTGGAAAGGACAGTTGAAGCCCTATCTTATTCAGTAATATTCCAGCATAAACCTGACAAGAGTTGAGAAAAGAGTCATGCAGAGAAAGAAAAAGGGATATTCGTGAGGAAGTGAGCTACAGACAGAGGGACAAATAAACATGAAGGCCTTCTTAAGGACCTGTTCAACTTTTTCTGTCTCACCAATAAGCAAAGCCTAGCAAAACTCCAACAATTAAATATTGCTGAGCTTGTGACCTAGTAAGTATAACACTCTATGCTACTTGGTGGTTCCTATCACCTAGTGGTTCTGGTCTGCACAAGAAAAATACCCAAACTACAGACAGCACTGTATTTCTCTTTTATAGAATCCCCTTATACTCCTTTCTTTTTTCTTTTTCTTTTTTCCTTTTTGTCGGTTGTGGGGCTTGAACTCTGAGCCTGGGCACTCACTGTCCCTGTGCTCTTCAGCTCAAGGCTAATGCTCTACCACATGAGCCACAGCACCACTTCCGGTTTTCTGAGTGGTTTATTAGAGATGAGAGTCTCACCGCTGTTCCTGACCCAGCAGGGATTTAAACCAAACCGTGATGTCTTAGATCTCAGCCTCCTGAGTAGCTAAGATTACAAGCATGAGTCATCAGTGCTGGGTTCCTTCCACTCCTTTATAAAGGCCAATGCAAATGCAACTGCCCCCAAAGTCCTTTCCATCTGTAACCTCAACAGCACCTACCATTTACTTACTGTTTGGTCCACATTCCATATTACCTTTTACTATAAGTACTTGGGTACAGATATTATATATATATATATATACATGTGTGTATATATATATATATACTACACACACACACACACACACACACACACACACAAATTTGAAGGACACTTCAAAGTCTGGAGAATGAAGACTGTGACTTTTTTTTTCCCTATACAGTTTTGTTCAAGTCATGTACCCCGGGCACTCCTAAGTTAGCCCCAACTGGAAGACCTTTATCTGGATAAGCAAAATACCAGAGGTGGCATTGCACCAGACTTTACTAGTGGAGGGGAGAAATACCTCTCTCCTTCCATGAAGGCTGATTAGCTGCCACTATACAGATTTTGGTAATTATTTTTTTAAATGCTGTCTCATGGGTGTCTTTATAACGTTTCCTGGCTAAGCAGAGAGATTAGTTCCCAAGGGAATTTCTGGATTCCCAAATCGGTGCATCAGCAGCTAGGAGGTGAGGAGAGAAGACAGGAATGGCTTTTATCAAGAAAGGGTGATCTACGTGGCTGGCCACACCCAGTCAGTATCCACTTTAAACTGTGGTACGAACTTTCTCCACTCTTTGAAGTCAAACCAAATTAACGACAGTTCCCGCCCCCCCCACACACACATTTCCCTTGTATAGGAAAAAGTGCTGCCATCCATGATGCCCAGTGACCTGCCCTTAGTCGCAGTCTGGCTAAACCAACCACATCAGCACCCACCGCATCTCCGATGAGTCAACCATCCCAGCGAGAGCTCTGATTCCCTTCCAACTCGTTGCAGACCACGTTAAAAAAATATGGAAGCAACGACTTTCAAAGACCTTTCGAAGGGCTCAGGTAGACGAGGAGGTCTGGGCCTCTCCCACGCCCCTCACTCCGCGGGCGCCTGAGGTCCCCGGCCGGCCCCGATCCCGACCTCCCCACCCCTCTCCACGTGCACCTCTAATTCCCGATCGCCTCCCCCAAGTCCTCCCCCGCTCCGGATACCGGCTCACTCGGAAGTCTCCAGTCCGAGGCAAAGCTGTGCCGCCCACGAGGGCTCGCCGGCCGGGAAGGGGTGCAGGCGGGCGCGCTCGGGTACCACCGCGGGTTCCACGCCGGGAGCGGGGCGCGCACCGCTCTGCCTCCACGCGGCCCGGCGAGCACGTTCCAAGCCGGCCCGCGCGGCCCCGCCCCCTCCGCCGAGGCCCCGCCCCTCCGCCCTGAGCTTTTTAGCCCTTGGCGGGCGCCGTAGTGACACCGGTCCTCCAGCCCGGCCCGACTCTTTGCGCGCCGCGCCGCAGCGAGCGAGCCCCGGACGACCCCCGCCGGGGAGGACGGGCAGGGGCGGGGCGGCCTGGCGCGGCTCAGGCGCCCTGGGAGCCTGCGCTTCCCCCGCATCGCTGGCTCCGCAGTCCGTGGTCCCAGTGCCCCGTCTTCCCGCGTCTGCAGATCGCTGCAGTGCCCTCCGCGTTAACGCTTCCCGCGCTGCCGAGGCTGCGGGGGGGGGGGGGGCTGCTGCGTCCCGGTGCGGGCGGCGCAGCCTCTGCCCTCTGCGGACCCGGCGGGAGCGGGGGCCGCGCCGGCGCGCGCCCGCCTTCCCGCTCCCTCCCGCGCCGCCGCCCGCGTCCCCGCACCGCCCCCTCCCCTCCCCGCGCTCGGCGCCACCTCCCCGGCTGCGGGCAGACGGCTCCGCACCTCCGCAACGCCCCGCGTCCGGACGGCCTGCGGGCGGCACGCAGTCCACACCCCACCCTGCCCGCGCGCCCCGCCGGCCGGCCGCACCCCTGCCCAGCATGTCGGCGCTCGAGTGGTACGCCCACAAGTCGCTGGGCGACGGCATCTTCTGGATCCAAGAACGCTTCTACGAGTCGGGCAACCGCGCCAACATCTGGCTGGTGCGTGGCTCCGAGCAGGATGTGGTGATCGACACGGGCCTGGGGCTGCGCAGCCTCCCGGAATACCTGTACTCCTCGGGCCTGTTGCAGGACTGCGGGGCCAAGGAGGAGGAGGACGCGGCCCGCCGGCCGCTGCTGGCCGTGGCCACCCACGTGCACTTCGACCACTCGGGCGGCCTCTACCAGTTCGACCAGGTGGCCGTGCACCACGCCGAGGCCGAGGCCCTGGCCCGCGGGGACAACTTTGAGACGGTGACCTGGCTCTCCGACAGCGAGGTGGTGCGGGCGCCCAGCCCCGGCTGGAGGGCCAGGCAGTTCCGGGTGCAGGCGGTGCAGCCCACCCTGGTCCTGCAGGATGGTAAGCGGGGGGGGGGGGGGGGGGGGCCCGCGGGCGGGAGGGGAGAGGGCTGGCCGCGAGGGCGGCACGGTCGTCGGAGACACAGTGCAAAAGCACCATTTCTGTCTCCACCAGCACCGAGGCCATCTCCAGCCTCCTCTGCTAAGACATCAGCCCTGGTGTGGTGCCGCGACGGCGAATGAGAGCCAGCACCACCCCCTAATCGGGTTTCTCGTGTCTCCTTACAGTGGTGACACAGCTGAGACTTGTGATTAATGGTTGTTCCATTCTTTTTCCCAAGCACCACTCTTGACATTCAAAATGCTTTGGTAGCAGGTCGGCCTTTTGTTGTTGTTGTTTCTTCTCTCTCTCTCTCTCTCTCTCTCTCTCTCTCTCTGTCTCTCTCTGTCTCTCTCTGTCTCTGTGTGTGTGTGTTTAAAGAAGTGTCGCCTTGCTAAGAGTGCATGTCATACTCTATGCTTTTGAGAACTACTGATTCCATCTGCTCAGTCACCACCCACTGTGATCCATTCCCACCTGTAGGCTTAGAAAATCGTCAGAGCTGTGGTTCCAGCCCCTCACTCATCCTCATCTTTTAGATTGATTTCTTAATACCACCTCACAAGAGGTAAAGCTTTAGTGAACATAAAGGCAGAACATGTCTGGTTTACATTATGACAGATAGTGGGTCGGGGTAAAAGCAAAACTGAGAGATTAATAAGGCTATTTCCAGTAAAGGTGAAGCTTAGTCTTCCTTGACTCTGCAAGTAGCTGAAAGACAGGATGCAGTTCAAGAGAGAAATTCGCAGAGAAAAAAGCCAAACAGGGTAGGCCCCAGGCCCCTCTCTCTCCATGCAGGAGATTAAATTGAATTAATTAGCCCAGTAAGCAAGATGATGATATAATCTAGGAGTTGAACCAAGGAGTCATAGATCAAACCATGCAGAACATATATGAATTCTACCTGAGAAATATATGTTTTTTAATAACTCTGAGAATGTAAAAGCTCTTCTTTCTGTCATGATCAGTTTATTTGCTAGTTTAGTGAATAGAAACACCTTTCTGTAATACAATGCATCAAAATGCTGGGGTACAATGAAACTCAGACTGAACAACATGAAAATAATGAGATATTTTACAAAACTCAGTTTCTCATACACATGAAATTATCTTGATCTTTTGTGGTATTAAGAAATTGTAAAATTCTATGCCTCACCACCCAGCCAAGAAGCATCATCACTAAAGTTTAAAATCTAAAGCTACAAAATTGTTTTATTTACTTGTAGACGATAACCAAGCAGTTGATGGGTATTCACCTTATTACATTATAGCAGTTGGGTCAAAAAGATTTATAGTAATGTTAAAATGTATTTCAAGTGTTGGGAAGATAAACATTTTTTTACTCATTTACTTCTGTGGTAGCAATGGGAAAAGAAGAGTGGAAGAATGGTATGGATTACTAACTTAGAGATGTAGAGGTAGTAATCTCATGCCTGAGGTCACACAGATCATTTGAGAAGGAACTGGGCCTAGAGCCCACATTTTCTTAGTCACAATTGATAGTAGAAGCCTAGCATTTTGGGATTTGGAAAGAGCTTACCAGCTCCTTGTGCAGTCTTTATGACTTTGAAGGTGAGAAAAGAAAGCTCAATATTTACCGAACACTTAGAATGTGATAATACTGTGTTATTACAAGTTGTTTCTCATTAGAAAGTGGATATCTTGTCCTCTCAAGTAGTAGCTAATTTCCTCACTTCTTAGGAATATTAATTTCCTGTCTTTTCTGAATGATGTGGCCTGCCAACTTGCTATTAGCATAGGTATAATACAGATGCCTAGAAGGATACATAAAATATTTATATTGAAAATGCATATGTACAGCACATACTCAAACAGCATAATGTCTTCATTGCTTTGGTTTGAGAACATAAGGAGGCTGAAATCATGTATTACATTTCATTTAGTGAATTGATGATTACCTGTTATGAAGAAGCAGAAATCTGTGCAGTGGATCTTCATCTCAAAAGCATATCATGCAATGTATGATAAATGTTTAATATGATAAGTGTACATGCTTATCTTTGATGGATAAAGAACTTACCTTATTAACAGTGAAATAGAATTTTCCTGTAAGAAGAGACTAGTGGACCTTCGTTATATCCCATATCTCCTAGATGTGAGTCTGTCACATTGCCTATCTTTCACTGGATTCAAGTGATTCAACTTCTGACATTGCTGTCTCCTTTGTACATCTTTAAACAATTTGATCAGCGCCAAGGATATATTGTCTTAGAGGAGTGGCTTCAGATGGACAGGTCACCTGAGAAAGTGAAAAACAAAATACAGAGATTCCAGAAAGATTGAATCCATAGTAAATTGAACAAACACAAAATCTGGCTCCCTCCTAAAGGCCTACTAAGACTACAAGTAAGAGTATCTGATCTGTTATATGATCCGTTTGCTTTCAGTATAAATCTGTACTGACTTAGGGAACAATTTCAGATGCTAGAAAGTAGATATGGTGACTTGAGTTAGCTGTTGTGTACTAGCCAGCAAGATACAGTCAACAGTTAGCTTTGAAAAAGACAGAAAAGGCCCAAGGATGAGCATTAGCCAGTACCTCAGTTGGAACCAAGAGAACACTAAAATAAGGACAATGGATTCCAAGCATTTAAAAGGCTGAAGCTCTTAACAATGTAAAACCTTTCTCCTTAAATGAATGCCCCTCCCCCATCCAGTTAGCGTGCTCTCTAGAGAAGTAAAATAGAGTAGTTTCTTGATTGAGGTCTGATGGGCACTATTGTGGTTCAGTTTAAAACAGGATCAAACAGTGTATATTTCCTATTAGATGCTTAGAAGTAAGATTGCCAGACCTCTACCACCAGGGACGGAAATTAGAAAAATCTTACCGGAAATCTAAACCCTCAAGGAAAGACTGAGATGCCCTGGCAGAGACATTCCTAAGTTATCCCTGGCTGGGTCACTACTGTCAAGTTTAGTTTGTGAGGTACCATATGTGTGCTTCAAGCAGGATTTCTACTCCCCTATTCAAATAGGCAACCAAGCACTTTGCAGAACCTGACAGAAGCCTCTTAACATGAGAACATCTTGAGATGATCAACTTGAAAGTAGAGACTTTCATCAATAACATTATAAAAAAGACAAGTGATCATATTCTACGTATCCAAAAGAGAATGAGAATGCTTTATAAATAAGTAGAACAGTATCCACAAAAAAAGTGCACTTGGAATTTAAAATACCAGAAATTAGTAGAAGTTATGGAACATTAATTTGAAAGCTTACAGTAAGAGAGCAGAGTATTTGATTAAAAAAAAAGTTTGGAAAATCTAACATTAACATAATAGAAGAAGAGATAATACAGTAATAAAATGAAGGAGAAGAAATAAGAAAGTTAGAGACAATCCAAGAATATAACTCACAGTTAAAGATATGCATTTCTGAAAAGGCCAGCAGAATTCCCATTGCCATGGACGAAAACACATCCAGGCTTGTAAATGTTCAAAGCATTCTGATCAAAGTAAGTTCTACAATTTCAAGAAATTTAAACCAAACCATCATGTGTTCAATCATAATGGCTTTGGAGCTAGAAAAGAAGTTTTGCATTCAACTCTACATGCAAATGATTTCCCCCAAATAGATCCGTGTGTCCATCCTACTACCAGTCAACTTTGCCCAAAAACAAAAAAAATCCTTTTACACATGCTGTTAAAGGGAAGCCATAGAGATATGCTCCTTCAAAATAAGGGAATAAACCAAGAGAGAAGACATCAAATGCAGTTAACAAGAAATCTAATGCAAAGGAAATTTAGAGTATTGGATGATAGGATGAATGCACTTCACAGTAACAGTACCCAAAACATTGGGACTACAGGGTGAAGTCATTGAATTCTGATTCTTTGGAGTGAGTGAATGATAAGAATATGAAAAACGTATACATACGTAATAGTGGTATCTGGGAATTTTGAAGAGTAGAGAGCTGAAACTCCAGCTTGATAGTGTAAATCAACAGGTAGCATACAAATTTAAAATAAAACAGGGCTGGGAAGTTGGCTCAGTGGTAGAGTGCTTGCCTCGCGTACATGAGGCCCTGGGTTTGATTCCTCAGTACCACATAAACAAGCCAGAAGTGGTGCTATGGCACAAGTGGTAGGGTGCTAGCCTTGAGCTGAAGAGCTGAGGGGTAGCGCCCAGGGCCAGAGTTCATTCAAGCCCCATGACTGACAAAATAAAATAAAATAATACATACATGGAACCAGTGGAGTAGATCTAATTTGTAACTGTGGAAGAGACTGAACTCTTTATTCTCACATGGATTATATACAAGAGTTAGCCAGGTGACTTATTGTTACTTTCAAATCAAGTTTTTGAAATTAGGTAGTCTAAGTCTTGCCACTTTTTCTTTTCCTGCAGTGTGGAAGAATTGAACGTGGACCTTATGAATGCTAGGCAAGCACTTCACCACTGAGCCATGCCACCAGTCTTCATAGAATTTTTTCGCTAGGTTTTCAGTTTCTTTAAAATCATGTTGAGATTTTGGTTGAGTGTGGACTGAGTTTATGGCTGCTGCAGTAGCCATAAACCATATGTGACTAGCCAAGAGATGAAATTTAATGTACCTAAAATAGATTAATGGCTCAAGGGGTAGAGCATCTGCCTAGTAAATGCAAGGTCCTCAGTTCAAACAGCAATTCTGGAAAAAAAAAATTGTTTTCCTTAAAAAAAGAGAATAGAAAAGCTAACTTAAAATTAAAAATTTAATTCCTTAATAGCACAGCAACATTTCAAATGGCAATAGTCACAATGACTAATATTTCTCATATTGGGCCATATTGACACAGACTGTTTCAGCTTCTCTGGAGAGTTCTATGCAGTACAGTGATAGAAAGGTTGGATTAAATTACATTCTAACTGAACAATGGGTTCAGCTTTATGTCTTCTTTAGTTTAGGCCTTCTTTAATTTCTCTTCACAGTGTTTGTGTAGCAAATGCTATTTTAATAGAATGTTTTTGTGTTTATTTGTTTTTTTCCCTGGTCCTGGAGCTTGAACTCAGAGCCTGCACAATATCCCTGAGCTGCTTTTGCTCAAGGCTAGCACTCTACTACTTAAGCCACAGCACCACTTCCAGCTTTTTCTGAGTTGTTTAATAGAGATAAGAGTCTCACAGACATTTCAGCCTAGGCAGGCTTCCAACTGCAATCCTTACATCTCGGCCTCCTGATTACAGGCGTGAGCCACCAGTACCCAACTAAAATTTATTTTTGAAAGTCCTTCTGCATGTAGGAGTACAGTAGCTTTTGTGTATTGATCTATCTTGTGATATTATTAAACTTTTGGTTATTTAGATCTTTAGCTTTTCTTCCATTCTTAGGCTTTTCCATACATATCACTATGAATAAATATAGAATTGCTTCTTCTTACCCAATATATATGAGTTTACTTCCTTTTTTTCTTATTGCACTGGTTAGGATCTTCAATGTAATGGTGGATGGAAGGCTTAAGAGCAACATCATGTTTTGTTCCATCCTAGAAGGAAAGGAGCTTATGCTTTCCTGCACTTTGTATGGTCTGTGCTGTTCAAAGAGATATTACCTGTAGGTTTTTCCATAGGTAGGCTTTATCAAGTTCAGGACCTTCCTTTCTGTTTGCAGATTTTTGCAACTTTTCATAAATGAGTGTTAGATTTTTGTGGTTTTGTATGTATCTTTTGAGATAACCTTGAGAAAATCTGTTTTTTCTCTTTTTATTTTATTAATATTTTACATTAACTATCTTCAGAAGTTAAACTAAATACTTCATCAAATAAGTATTTAAGATGACTGTCTTCTAAGTACTGCTTTAGTTATATTCTATAAATCTTATAATTTTTTTCTTTAGTATTATCTATAGTGTTCTCTACCTTCCCTTTTGATGTCATAGGCTAAAAGTATAATAACATTTATGGATAGTCCCATATTTATTTTTAATCACTCTTATGTTGCTAATTTTCTTTATTCAAAATTCATGTCTTGTTTTTAATGTTATTTCTCATTTTTTAATTAAGTATGGTCAGTGAACAAATATACTTTGCATTTTTTGTTTGTTTATTTTTTGTTGGTTGTTGGACTTGAATTCTGGGTCTGGATGCTGTCCCTGAGCTCTTCCATTCAAGGTGAGTGCTCTATCACTTGAGCCACAGAGCCACTTCACTTCCTACTTTGTATTTTTTTTCCTTTTAAATTTATTGAAACTTGCTTTATGTCTTTCTGGATATTCATGCACAACTGAGAAGTGTACTTTACTATTTTGGAGTTAAATATGTTGTATGTGGCATTTAGATTAAGGTGGTTAATAGGAATTGTTTTGATTTTCTGTATCCTTCTATGTACATTTTACAAATTACAAAGGAGTTTTTGAAATTTCTCAGGAAAATATCTCAATTGTTTATTCTTATTTCAAGTGTCAGTTCTTTCTTCATGAAGTTTTTTTTTTTTTTAATTCTCTGTTTTGGGTGTATATACATTTATGCTTTTTAAGTGTTTTGGCCTAACTTATAACCCATGAAATATCTCTTTTCTCTAGGAATAGCTCTTGTGCAAAAAAATTATTTTGTCTTATAGTAATAGCCCCTGTAATTTACTTATCATTAATTTATATGCTGTACCTTTTACAATCTAATTTTGTCTTTGACCTAAGTTCCTGTCTTGGTTACCTCATACATTGTGCTTTTAATCCTTGTCTGAGTATGATTGGAGTGTTTATCCCATTCTTTTGTTATTCCAATACCAGGGCTTAAACTCAGGGCCTTTCATTCTCACTCACCTGTTCCCACTCAGAGCAGGTGTTCTACCACTTGAGCCACACCTTCCATCTAACTTTTTTGTTGATTAATTGAAGATGAAATCTGATGGACTTTTCTGCTGAGGCTGACTCCAAACCTCAATTCTCATATCTCAACTACCTGACTAGGTAGGATTACAGGCATGAGCCACTGGTGCCCAACCTCATTCATGTTTCTTGTAATTATTGATACAGTTGGATTTTGAACTGCTATTTTATGTTATATTGCATTTTATTTTTTCTTTTGTTCCTGTATTTTTCCTTCTGTTTAGTGAATTCCTCCATTGACTTTTTAGCTATGTTTCTTTGACTTTTCTTCCTATGATGTGTTTGTACTAGAAATAAACTATATAAATATTTTAAGAAATCATTATTTATTTCAAGTTAGCACATAAGTTCTGTGAAACCAGCAAAATCCTGCCCTAAAGAGCTTCATTTTCTCCTATCAATAACTGATATCTTTGAGATTTTGCCCTACTTAAAAGTAGCCTGAACCTGCAACAATTTAGTAGATTCTCACAGAGGACATGAAGTTTCTGGATAAGAAATCATTTATTTCACAACATCAATAGCATTATCCAGAGCTTGACCATACAAACTAAATCTTCGAGCCTTAATTTCCACAGAGTGATATAACAAGGGTAAAACACAGCATACTTCACCAGTACAACATTAAAAAGTTGTGCCAACAGGATAGTAGTATTTTGGATGTTCTGAAAAGTAAAAGATTTCTAGTCAAATAAGTTTGAGAAATTGTGTATTTTCTTTATGTATATCTATAATATCCATTGTGAAATTAAAAGTTTTTTATAAGTCTTGCAGAAAACAAAGCTCCTTAACTCTTAAAAAAAAAAAGCTTGTAATAACCTGCAAAAGTAGAGCTGTACATTACTCACTTTAGCAAATACTAAGCTAGAACACAATAGGAATGAAATACAGGCCACTTATTTTCAAATTATCATTAAGATATAATAGTATTTATGGAGTAATAGTGAATGAGCATCATCCCTCCTGATTTCTTTGAAACTATTCAGTGTCCTTATGTTTAATGATTAAAATCATGTATACAGCTTATTTATCTGTTAAATGTTTCCATTTGTAGGGGATGTGATCAACCTTGGTGACAGACAGCTCACTGTCATGCACATGCCAGGTCACTCCAGAGGTAGTATTTGCTTGCATGACAAAGACCGAAAGATTCTCTTCAGTGGAGATGTCGTGTACGATGGATCGCTGATTGACTGGCTCCCATACAGCAGGATAAGTGACTATGTTGGCACTTGCGAACGTCTGATAGAATTAGTGGACAGAGGTCTGGTGGAGAAGGTGCTTCCTGGCCACTTCAATACCTTTGGTGCCGAAAGGCTTTTTCGATTGGCTTCTAACTATATTTCAAAAGCTGGGATATGTCACAAAGTGTCTACATTTGCCATGAGATCTCTTGCAAGTCTAGCCCTACGTGTAACAAATTCTAGGACCTCACCCTAATATATATATATATATATATATATATATACACACACACACACACACACACACACACATATATATACATATGTATATATTCTCTCCACCTATTTTTGTTAATTATATAAATTAGTCCAATTCGTTTGTGCTGCTTTAAGTGGTTAATAGTGAGCATTTCAAGAACTGCTTTTATATAACTATTGCGTATTAGAAAAAAAGATTTGAAAATGATACATAAAAATTAGAGTGTTTTCTTTTACATAAGAAATTACTTAAATAAGCTTATCATTTACCAATGCTGTCATAAAGACTCTAGAAAATGCCATACTAATATAGTATGTAGCATAGTATGCCCATTTTTAAAAGTTCATTTCCTAAGTGATCTAAGAAAAGAGGCACTTAAATTTTTACTAAACTTGAGTTTTTAGAATTTCATTTAAAGATTAAGTTTCCTTGGCCTGAAAAATGCATTAGAACTAAATGGAAATGCACAAACTTAGAAAGACAGCTAAAGCATCCCATGATTATGGTCTTGTATTTTTATGCTTTTATTTAATTTATTCTTTATGTAATTATAGTATTTATTTATTCTGTGTACATTAACTTATGAAAAGTACAATAAAATTTGTTTTATAGCAAAGCTTTAAATATAAATGGAGTGCTTCAGTAAAAAGCTACTATATATTATTGTTTGTTATTATGTAATATTTTTCAGTCATGAAAGTGAAATTCAAATGTATATAATCTAACTACCAACTGTTAGACTTCTTAAAAGGACACTGTCAGGCAAATCTGAAAATATACACATTGAGAATAATTTTTTATTATAACCTATTTTAATATTAATAGCTAATATAAAAAATTTGTCTTGTTAAGTAGGAACTTCAGTATTGTGTCATGTTTTACAGTATTAAAGCAAGTATAGATATCTATGATATCTTGATATAAACCATTCTTTTACTTGACATAACATATATATATGTACCACAAAGGGATTTTTAAATTAATCTCAAAATGTGTATTATGTATTGGCCTAGAGTGAATTGCCTTTCTATCCTGATTCACAACACCTATTCCTGTTTGGTATTCTTTGTCTTGAACTAAACAAGTCTACATTCATAAAGTCATAGGGAAAGTAAAACCACTATTTAGTAATTGTTTTGGTTTGGTGCTCTTGATAATTTATCACAAAGCTTTTTGAAATATTTCATAAAGGTTTTTAAACCAGTTTTTTTCCTACTGCCTTTTTATTATTGACATATCTCAAAGCAAACTGATGCAGATTTGGGAATCAAATCTTTTACTACTAGAAAAGTAGAGCAATTCTGATTTCTGTCAAATTATATAACTTTTTCTACCTTACAGACGCCAGGTACTTTAGGTTTAGTTTTTTTTTTTTTAATTAATTCACTTAATACACAGAGACACACATCACACATGCATATACACAGCCAGAACGTACATGCACAACACTGTGCTAAACACTGTGGAAGTCATAGATAATATTATAGCTGGGAGTAGAAGGCACTCAATATGATAATATATGCAAGTTGAAATTCATATAAATTATGCTTGAGTATAGAGGACATAAGGAAAGAAGTGTGAAGTTTTGTTAGGGAAAATTTCCTAGAGGAGGGGTTTTGAGTCACATTTGCAAGGATGATTTGTTAGGGCGTCAGGGTAGGAAACAAAAAGATTCAAGAGTAGAGATGCCAGCACGGCTGTATAGTCTTTTTCTTGTAATAATATACATTCAATCTTCAGGAATACTATTTCTTCCAAACACCATGTATTTAGTCTGAAAAAGATGAGTTTGTGATTTGTTTATATGAGTAATCTTTGATGACATGGACTAACTGCCAGATGCCACCAAACGAACCTTTACATAGCTAGAAAGGAGGCTATGATTGGTTCAAATATAGAATATCATGAGTGATCTGGGATGGTCATTCAAGGCAGTAGAGCTGTTTCAGCTGATAACATGATGGTTCAGGGCAACTATAATGACTTGATGAGCCTTAAATATAGCCATTATTTTTATATCAGTAGCACAAAAGAAAACCAAAAGTCCTTAACCATTGACCATTTCATCTATAGTTTAAGATTTATTTTAAAATTAGGGTATAGTATGCATTAAATATTATTAGGAAAAAGTTACTCCAATTGAGGGTTTCTCCTTATTTTTAAAAAATGTAATTTTCCAGAATACATTAATATTATTTGTTAAATTAACATTTTTTTCCACCTGTAATTCATAATAAGACTATGATATTTTGTTATTGCTACCATGTGAATAAAATGGGAACACATTGGGAAAGGATATCATTCATTAAGTACCCATGCTATATGTTTTAAGTATGCATTTTTAAAATTCAGTCCTGGTTCTAGGAACAAGAAGTAATTACCCTGCCTCACACAACATGGCCTAGGGACAGACCTGATGACTGAACACAGTGCTTTTTTCTCTTATAACTGCACAATACACAAAATTGGCAAAGTGTATTTTTATTTTCTAAGATACCACATGTGCCAAGTACAAATCAAATAATCCTAACACATAATATCATATTTTAAAAAATTTTAAAACATATATTTTCACCCTGACAGTGACCCTTGTAATTTATGATTTTTGAAAATATAAGTACGTAAGTAACTTGAAGTCATCAAAATGTAGTACATTTAAAAATAATTCTTACTTGTGTTGTTACTAATTGTCTAATGCTTGTTCTTATTTGCTGTCTGTTTAATTGAAAAATTGTGTATGTTCTGATATAGTTGGGTAAATGATTACGTGTACTTGTTCATATATGGATAGTGATATGAATGTGACATGCACAAGCTTCCCCCTTATGGTTGTCAAATATGTGTAAGTAAACATCTGTGTAATAAATATTAAAATGGGCATTGATTTCAATCTGCAGTTGGTACTTTTTATAACATTAAATCCATTCGAACTTTCTCAGAAGGATATAGTCTATATGAAATGCATTTTTGAAAAGCATGTGATAAATATAGCAAATCTGGGAAAGATAATAAAGAAAATACCTATTTAAGCCTTTAGTGCTTAATACATAGGCATTTTATATTAGTGGGTAAAAGATGGACAATTCAATAAATACTATAGTTATTGATGTGAGGGGAAAGCTCATACCATCATAAAAATAAAATTTAAGTAGATTAAAGACCTAAATTTGTGAACCAGAACTATAATTATTAAGAAAATTCAAAACATTTTTCCCTTAGTATAGAGAAAAATCTTTATGGAAACAAAAAGCAGAATGCCATAAAACAATGTTAGAGATTAAATAAAATATTCCTTTGATTTGGCAATTACAAGGTTGGAACTGTGAGCCTCATTCTTACTAGTCAGGTGCCCTTATTACTGAGCCACATCTCCAGCTCTGTAAGCTACTGGTTATTTTTTTTGTTTTGTTTTTTTGGGTCCGGTCGTGGGGCCTGAACTTTGGGCCTGGGCGCTGTCCCTCAGCTCTTCAGCTCAAGGCTAACTCTCTACCACTTGAGCCACAGCGCCACTTTCAGCTCTTTTTTTTCTTTTTGCTTATGTGGTGCTGAGGAATCGAACCCAGGGCCCCAGGCATGCAAGGCAAGCGCTCTACCACTGAGCCACCTTCCCAGCCCGCTACTGGTTATTTTTAAGATAGAGTCTTGCATCCTGTCCAGATGTGCACTTGGGCACCAATCTGCCTATTAGGCTTCCCCAACATAACTAAGATAAGTGGATGTTACACTTCATGCTGCAACAAATAATTGTTCTAGCCAGCTTGAGGACAATTCTGAAGTGTATAATTTGGCACATCCAGTCATTGGAGTGTTTTAGTCAGACATTGGCATTGGTCTGACAAGATACTTGGCCAAGAAAACAAAAACCACCAACAAAAAAGAAACTTAAGGAAGAAAATATTTATTTTGGTTTACAGTTTCAGAGGCTTCAGTTCAGCATGACAGGAAGGGCAAAGCAGAGCAAAGAAACTTACAACATGGTGGCCAGGAAGTCAAGAGAGGAGAATGCCTGAATTCTGGGTTTTCTCCCTCCTTTATTTATCTCTGCTACCCACTACTGCGAGGCTATGGGATAGTGTCACCTATATTCAGGGACATCTGCCCCACTCATACTCTAGAAACACCTTCACAGAGATAGACAAAGGTGTGCTTTACTAATCTTGTAAATGTTCCTTAATCCAACCAACTTGATAATAATTAAGCATTATAAACTCATCCCTTGTCACCTTGACACCCAAACATGTCTCATTAAACCATAATATTCTACCCTTGGTCCCCTAGAGTCTCATGTCTATATTATAATATTAAGATGCTTTCAGTCTTATCTCCAGAAGTCCTCGTGGCCTTTTAACAGTTAAAACATTGTTCCGAAATCTTAGTTTACAGTCTCTTAAGACTCAAGGCAAACTTTTAAGTCCCTATAAAATCAAAAGCAGTTAGTTTATTTCCAAGACATAAGTGTGTATTTCCATCATAAAAGGGAAAGATAAGAGAATGGCCTAAGTAGATCAGAATTGGAGTTGTGGCTAAGGTGGTAGAGTGCCATCTGTGAGCAAGGAAGGTCCTCATGAGAGAGCCCAAGACCCTGGGTTCAAGCACCAGTACTGGAATAAAAAAGTTGCTGGACTTAAGAGTGATGTGCTGACCTGTTGTTCTTGGCTGACATTACTGTATCTCATCACTTCCAACTCCTGGTTTTTGACTGGTAAAGAGTTAATAGGGATAAATATTTTGTAGTCACGTAAAGATTAAACTAGTCTGGTATGCTAGTTGCATACCTGTTATGCCAGCTATTTGGTATACGGAAGAGAAGAATTGTTAGTTCAAATCCAACCCAGGCAAAGGTAGCAGCAAGACAGTCTCAAAAGCAAAAACCAAAAACCTGAAGAAATAGATCAAGTAGTAGAAAGCATGCCTGCCACGCACAAGGCCTGGGTGAAGGCCCTAGGTTCAATCCTAGTACTGGGAAAAGAAAAAAATAATAAACTACATTCAATAAGCTGTCTAAGAAAACAAGATGTTTATAGGCAATTTAGAACAATTTGCATCTCAGTTGGGTAAAGCAAGAGATTAAAGGAAGGATCAAAACTGCAGAAAACTGCCCAGAATGCTTTATTTCCCAAGATGCCTATGTAATTGAACTTTTAGTTTTCCAAGAATTGCCTGATAGTCCATTCTCTGAAATAAATTTCTGCTACTCTTTATCCTGGAATATGCTCTAACTACAAGCTTATAGATCTTAAAGCTCTATGAAGCAACTCATCACTAAACTGATGTGTGCAGCTGTGAAGTGACTGCCAGTCTTTCTCAGGTAATCCCAGGAAATTTTGAGTGTGACAGGAAGTGTCACACTCAAAATTAATTAAACTAATTAATTAATTAAACTAATCCAAATTTATTTAGGTGATATGAATATGAATAAATAGACACTAAGGTTTATTTTGTTATATAGCAGTTACCAAAGCAATAATTTTAACTATTTAAATCATGTAGGAATTTTTGAAACTACAAGTATCTATGATATACACAAATCAATCAAAACAGCTTCTAAGGAGTTCTGTAACTTTAAGAGCCTAGACAAAGATCCTTGTTTCATTATTTTGTTTGCTTGTTTGTTCGGTTGGTTTTAATTTTTGCATATGGATATCCAGTTTCTTCAATATCAGTTTTTAAAGACACTCTTCTTTCCCCATTGTGAATTATTGACAACTGTCTCAAACATTAATTGGCCAAATATGCTTTTTTTCACTTTCTGAGCTTTTTATTCTTTGTATTTGTTTGACGGCATGCCATATTGTTTGTTTACTGTTGTTTTAAAGTGTAATTTGAAATCAGAAAGCATTATGCTTCTTGCTCAAGATTCCTTTAGCTATTTGGGCTCCTTTGTGGATCCATACCAAGTTTTCAATTGTGTTCTCTTATTTCAGTGAAAAAAAATTCCATTGAAATTTTGGTAGGGATTGTATTGAATCTTTGGGTCACTTTGGGTAGTATGCTTATTTTTTTTTTACTATATTGAAGCTTTATAATCAATCAACAGAGAACATCTTTTCATCTGTGTCTTCTTTAATTCCTTTCTTTTTTCTGTTGTTGATTTTTGCTTTTACTTTTTAGGCAGGGCCTTGAGGCCTTGGAACTCACTGTGTAGCCTAGGCTGGCTTCAAACTCTTCATTCTCCTGCCATAGTCTCCAAAGTGATGGGACTATAGATATGCATTCCACCTGGCCTTCTTAAATTCCTTTCATCAATGTTTTATAGCTTTTAGTGTTCAAGAATTTTTTGGTCCTTAGGTTAAGTTTATTCTTAAGTATTTGATTTTTTAATACTATTGTAAGTGGGATTATTAATGCATACAAATGCAATGGATTTTTGTATTTTTTTAAATCTCACTGTTAGAAAAACCACCAATGGACACCTATGATTCCAGCTATTTGAGAGTTGGCCATCTAGAGGACTGCAGTTTGAGATAAGCCTGGACAAAAAGTTAGTGAGACCTCATCTCACCCGTTAAGTTGTGCAATGCTGCCCATCATTGCTCCATCTATACAAGGGGCATAGATACAACGATAGTAATCCAAGATTGTCTTTAGGAAAAAATGTGAGCCTCTACCCTTCCAAATAACTAAAGCCAAAAAGGTAAAGGTTGTGTTAGAGCACATGCCTACAAAGAGTAAGATACTGAATTCAAACCCCAGTGCACTGAAGTGAAAAAAGAAATAAATCACCACGAAACTATTTGGCCAGGAGGTTCGTGATCCAGGCAAGCCTACTTCCTGGTTCATAAACTGCTGTCTTCTCACCAGGGCTTCAGATGGCAAAAGGACAGAGAGAGTTCTTGGCTCTTCCACATGATAGAATTAGTTCCATCCATCAGGGCTAACCCTTTAGGACTACTCAATTCCAAAGGACCCATCTCTCCAAAGCATCACACTGGGGTTTATGGCTCAACATAAGAATTTGGGAAACAAATATTCATTCTACAGCACAACTCCCTTGGTCTTCCCACTTGTCACAGCAATCCAAGTCTAGCAAGTCTCAGGTGCTCTGGCTCTTCTCTCACTAATGTCCTCACCCTTGTGATATGGTTCAAGCGTATCTCTTCTCATTGCTGTGCCTTTGCCAAATGGACAAAACCTTGTCATGAAAGGAAGAAAGGCTGAGGAGCCTGCTTTTTCTGATGGCTGTACCATAAATTGATAGCGAGTAAGTATGCAGTTTAAGTTCATAGCAAAGTATGTGAATATACTCGTTAGATATAATAATCAAGCTACCTTCTGTATAATTGGAAAATGTGTTTTTTAAAGCTACATTTTACACATATATACATTTTCAACAATTCATATCAATTTTTATTTAACATTTGCAAGATATATACTAACAAACGTGAGAACAAACAAATGAATATAAAGATTAAAAAAAATTGAGAGTGTGTTCTTCATTAGCAAGAGATTTTGGCAATCTGGGAAAATGGGATATAATGGAGAAAGGAAAGAAGAAGAATTGAATCATTGATTCAAGAATCAAGAGGAAATACATGTATATTAAGATGCTTTGACTCCATGGAACTGTTCAGTTTATTTAAAGCTTTAGAAAATATTTGACCATTAAATAGACAACAAAAATGGAATAATTTTTATTCCATTTACTAAAATGATACTGTTTCTTAAGGATGAGTTGCAAAAACTGAAAGCTTCACTGAAGCCCTTGAACTCACCAAGAATTTGCTGTTTTTACATTATATCATGTAGAGAGAATTACCTGGGAAATGCCAAGGAAAACTCCACTTGGCCCTGAGGTCCTAGTTAATTTTATTTTAGCAATGCTTTAATTTAACCTTCAGAGTCATAACGATAAGATCACTTGAGAAACATCTGTAAGAATCACCATGGAGA